ATGGCCTCGAACCTACTAGCAGTGGCCTCCAACCTAAGAACAATGGCGTCCAACCTAAGAGCGATGGCCTCTAACCTAAGAGCGATGGCCTCCAACCTACTAGCAATGGCCTCCAACCTAAGAACAATGGCCTCCAACCTAAGAACAATGGCCTCCAACCTAAGAGCGATGGCCTCGAACCTACTAGCAATGGCCTCCAACCTACTAGCAATGGCGATACCCTAACCTAAAAGCGATGAGCGATGGTTACTTTAAACATCCAAATGGGCCAAAACGGATCCCATTGGCTCCAACTGTCGCCACGAAGCTGCTTTTCGCCGTTTTCAAGATCCCTTCGCTGCCAGGGTTTCGTGCCGGCGATGTGGGCGTTGAGGAGAGACACCAAGGGTGTGGCCATGGCCTTTGACCCCACATGTGACCCCAGACAATTGAAAACAAACACTTTGGTACCAATATAATACAATTTATAAAGAGATATATTTTTTCTGCGTGTATATATATATATATTCATAATATATATATATAAGTACCTTTCTGTCCTTTCCTGTTTGCCTAGGTCTTAGCAGTGCCCAATTGGCCCTTCTGTCAACTGTCCTTGTTGGCGAAGTGTCGAAGTTTCCAGGAGGAGTTGCCGGACCCTCCAGAAGATCTGGTCTCGACCTGAGATGGCTCAATGAGGACGAGCAATCAGATGGGCTGATGGGCTGGTGAGGACGGGACACTTTCGCTCACCAGAAGAGGCGAGCCTTGCGTCGCTTCTTGTCGAGCATGTCCGTTGATGAGAAACCACCTTGAGAATCCAGGTCATATCTCAGGATCTTGGTTGCCCAGTTTCTCCTGCTAATAGTCTGCAGGGGCCCCTGGCCACCAGAGTCAGAGCCACCTGAGCCACCAGTGTCAAGCCACTTGGAGGATTGGCTTTGCCACTCCACCCGGACTCCACCGGACAAGCGCCCGAAGACCAAAGAGTCGAAAAGGATGGTGTTTGACGCCCATGGAGAGCCGGAGAGCGTGGGATCATGCGGGATCTTCGTAGCTTCTAGTTACTAGAAAGCTTCAAAGACCTAGTAGCGTCCTTGCTCCTAGTAGCTATGCCAGGAGCCCCTAGTAACGTCCTTGCTCCTAGTAGCTATGCCAGGAGCCCCTAGTAGCATCCTTGCTTTTACAAGAACCCTAAGACCAAATCCAGCCTTCATCCTTTTGATTGCCAGCCTCGCCGCTAAGCAACTACGCAAGTATTACGACCCTGCACCCCCTCAAAGTCACCTGTGCTTCAAAGCTCACCAACTCTCTAGGAATTCCACAAGCTTAACATAATTAGCCGAGAGATGTCGCCGCCCTCCATCAGCGAGCTGTCCTTGAGCGGCTTGATTGCTCGCCTCAAAGAGGTGTGATGGGGATGGGGAGGAGAGACCAGGGATGCCTCCAACCTACTTGCGATGGGTATCTACATATGCCGCAACAACGGATCAATAATCAACATACCCCAACGGATCACCCTACAATAATGGACGGCACCAATTCAACTGTAAGACTAAGTGTCTCCCCGTACAATGATGGATTGCATCCCCAACCGTATCAGTGCACCTGTCAAAGCCACCCAAACGCTGCTATCTATGGACTGCTCCCTCGTAGTCTATTCAGTTCATTTCACGCCGAGACCCAAGCCTTGGTAGATTGACCTTCCCGGTGGCCTCCAACCGAATAGCAGTGGCTTCCCAAGAGAAACTTAATGCATGGCACCAGGTTGATCACATCAAAGGCATCAAGAGTCCGGACGATGAGCAGGCTCTGCCTCTTTTTGTGCAAACATCAGTTTCAATGGAAACATGCGGCCAGGCAGCGTTACTTGCCACTGAAACCGATGTGAAGAAGGCACTTTTCGAAGAGTTGCAGGTTTCCGGCTCAGCGATCTGGCACGTGTTATGACGTTTTGCACAAGATGGTGACAAAGCTTCCGAGTTGCTTGAATAGAAACAATAAGCTCCTAGTAAAAAGTGCCTTACTAGTAATAATAGTAACAAGAAGCTATTAGTAATTAGAATTCAATTAGAATTAAAAGCTTCCTAGAAATCCTAAATTTGCTTGAGGGGGCCAGTTCCGGCATTTTTTCCTTCGAGAAGAAGGTTGCAAAAGAGCCAGGACCTCAGGGCCCATCACGCCCCTCAGGGCGCATCAAGACCCAGTGCGGGTAGAAGCAAAGGTAGGACACAGTGCACGAAAAGAACCTTGCCAACCTGCTTGTTTGTATTTTTGCCATCGCACCTATCTTTTCGTTCAGCTTCTTGAACACATTAGGTTAAGTTCGTGGCTTGCGACATGTTTGGAACCCATCAGCGCAATGCAGCTTGTGCAGAGGTTTTTGCAAACACAGATCAAGTCGGTGGATGATGCAGCCAAAGGCCAGAATGGGCTGTAAGAGCTACATCCTGGAGGGTGTTCTTGGACAGGAGCTGATGCGAAGAAGATGAAGCTTCAGGAGCTTTTGTCCGGCGTTGAGGTTGGAGAGCGATTGGACTCTCGTACTTTTGGCAGCATTTCCTTTGCAGGGCGCGGCTTCAAAGGAAGACCCTGCTCATGTACGGCGTGTCGGGAACACCGAGTATTTAATTTTCACCCAAAATTAGGAACCAATGATCAGTGTGAGCGCTTCTTCAAGGAAGCTCCTCCCCGCCCTCAGGCTGGGAGAGCTTCCTTGAAGAAGCGTGAGCTATCCTGCGTCCAGTAGGTAGTAGCTTCAGTAGCTTCGGTAGGCACCTACTCAATTAAGTAGGGAGGCGGGGCAGCGGGCAGAAAATAAGAGAGAAATTGATTTTCACATGTTCTTGGCTGCTTCAGGCGCGACAGGACCTTGCCAAGGCTGAGAAAGCCTTTGAGGCACTGGGAACCACTAGACCCTTTCAAGTCCGAGATGTGCATTTTTTAAATAGATTCCGTTTTTGAATCCATTTTTTCTTGATTTCTTAACCTTTGTCAGGAACTTGTCGTTTTGTTCCCTTTCTTTGATCCCTCCAGCCCAAGTCTGTTTGCGGTCTTTAGGAAGCGACGAAGAACTACGAGCGCCAGGGCCTCAGAAACGAAAAATCGGCGTCCACTGGGCGGTTACGTGGCGCTTGGCATTGCTGGTGCGGTGAGGATGGGAGAAAGGGAAGAAGATGTCGCGCACTTTTCTCGAAGCGATTCCCAGTGGACCTGACCGTGTGTTTTGTCAGTGATTACTGACAACACCGAGGTTCTCCGTGGATGAGATTAAGGCGTTGAAAAGAGCCTTCGAAGAAGGGAAGCAAAAGGTGGAGAAAGCGAGGCCACTCAGCATGTCCTGAATTCCAAAGATCCGTGGAACGGCTGTGGTGTTCCCAACCTCTTCAGCGCCAGGGGTCTGGTGGAGCAACAGCAGCAGCGTCGGGCCACCGCAGCTGTAGCCCCTTTGACCGAGGAGAAAGAAAGGCCTCGTCCCACATCAACGTCAAAGTCAGTTGGGTTGGATGTCTTGTCCAGGGGTGCTGCGGCTGTAGCGACAGAAGCGCGGCTGGCCAAGAGCGCTAAGGCCTGGACTTCGCAGATGTTGCGCCTGTCAACGTCGCCGATGTAAGGCGCCTGGAAAGGTGGCCAACCCAGCTGTAAGCACCAAGGCGCATTTTGGGTCGGAGACCGAAACCTGAGCCAGCTCAGGCCGAACACATGTGAAACGCTCTTCTTCTGCCTCCCAACATGGTGTTGGGGGATTTGTTAGAACCGGTGGCCAATCCGAGAGGCGGCGCCCGCAGGGTATCCCAAGCAGCCACCACCAGCAGCGCTGAGACAGGCGCAGTTGGCTGCACAGGTGGGGAAAAACACCGAGCAAGTGAGGGGAGGGATTTCGAACGATCAAGTCAAACCAACGGAACACAGAGTTTATGTCCTGCCTTGAGATCACTGTTTTCTTTTGCTGAGACATGTTTAAACATTTTCCTTGTACACCTGTTTCTTTTTGCTCATGCCTTTTTTGATTGTGGTTCGATTGGTCAAAGGATTATAAGGAAGTGAATGTGAAAAGGCCTTTGGTCTTGGACTCCATGTCACTACCTTCGTTTATTACTAGGAGTGGATTGTAAGTTGTAAGGTCCAAAAAGATTCCTTGAACAAGGGCAACAGGACAAGGTTCTTTTGAATGCCCATTTCTTGCCAGCCTTACTGACGCGAGGTGCGGATGGAAGCACAGCACCCTGAGGCTTGGAGCCTTTGAATTGGACATTTTCAAGCTGGCATGGTTGATCCTGCTTCTTGTTGCTCAAACCCAACGGAACCCCACAACCAATAAAACCCAGGACCCTGACCCCGAACGGGATGAGCGCAAACATTGCCAATTTGATGAGCAGAAGTGATCCACATGCTCAAGAAATCTGGGGGTGCAAGTAGACAAGTTTGGTTTGCACATGGCCATTGCTACTAGGGTGGAGGCCATCGCTACCAGGGCGGAGCCCATTGCGCAGACCTTCCTGATCTCAATGCTTCGCGAAAACAAGACCCATGGGCGCATGGGGATCTCGCAGATGTGGTTTTATGATGTTTTATGTTGCGGGTCGTCGAGTGTGTTTTGTGTCTGCTGGGAGCTTCCTGTGCCCTTCCTCTTTGTGAAGGCTGTGGGTCTTGAGTCATGCAGGGGAATGATGCTTCTGAGTGCTTCCACACCTTTTGAGTGCCAAAACCCAGCGCGTGCACAACAGCCCTGTTCAATCCCACTGTGTTTGTCTCAAACTCGTCTATACGCGGAGGACTGTGGACACCTGCCAAAACAGTGAAATCTGAGCTCAACAAAGTGAACACAATAAATCAAGACCTGTTTCATATACTGTAGTGTCACGAACGCACCTAGTTACTAGTTACTAATAACACGGGCATCGCCATCGCTACTAGTAACAAGGGCATTGCTACTAGTAGCAAAAAGCTACTAGTTCTCCCAAACAGATTTGGAACTCCAGAGCTTTGTTGCTCCCACAGGAGCCGAAGCCAGCACCCGCACCACGACCCAATCCACGACCACGAGTTGAAGCTCCCAAGGCGAGGAGAAGAGCACATATTCATTTTTGAAAACACGTTTCTTTTCGAAAAATTTTTCCCCAGATAGCGAAGCTATGGGGTTCTTACTTCAAACAACAATGAGCTGCCTGTGCACGCTTTCGAGACTGCACGTGGTGGAGACAGGGTGCCAGTGCTGGTGCTGGGTGCCGGTGCTGGTGCTGCTGGCTGCGCGCGTGGTGGAGACAGCCGGTGCTGGTGCTGTGTGCTGGCTGTGCACGTGGAGACCGGGTGCCGGTGCCGGTGCTGGGTGCTGGCTGTGCACGTGGTGGAGCCCGGGTGGTGGTGCCGGTGCTGGCTGTGCACGTGGTGGAGACAGGGTGCCGGGTGCTGGGTGCCGGGTGCTGGTGCTGGGTGCTGGGTACCGGTGCTGGGTGCTGGTGCTGGGTGCCGTGAGCTGGCGTGCCGGTGCTCGGTGCTGGTGCCCGCTTCTGACAGTGAAGTGCTAACAACCGCCGCTTCTGACGCCATTGTAGCAGTGAAGGGCGAGCAGTCATGGGCCGCATGAACTTTTGCACTCAACATCATACGGCGTCTTCGCTTTCTTTGTCTATTAGCGCTGTTGTCTATTAGTTGTCACCATGCTCTTTCAAAAGTACAAGGACGTTGTTTGCACTGATGTGCCTGAGGATGCGCCAGTGCTCTCCTACGCGTGCACCTGTTCTGCAGTGGCAGAACATTTAGGCGTCTCAGAGGCCGTAACCTTCTTGACTTTGGTTGTTGGATTGTGGAACCAAAGTCGAAGTGAACAGGAATTTCAGCAAAGCATCTTCTAAGTTGACTAAGTCGTCCTTGTGGACGACTCCACAGGCGCAAGCTCGAGACCTTGCACAGTCTGCTGGTGAATTTGCTCAGCATTTTGATGAGGAGGTCTGGCAAGCAATCCAGGCGAGATGATGCGGGATGTGTTGCAGCAGAGTTGCCCTTTTCATCTTCGGGATGATTGCGCAGTAGGATCTTCCGATATTCCTCATGTGCCAGGACAGATCGTTGGCCATCGAAAAGGCTAGCCTGGTGCTGGGCAGCAGAAGGGGTTCTTGCGTCGGTGCCATGAAGCAATAGGTCCTGCTGGTTCTACTTGGTCAAGCCTTGCAAAAATCAGCCCTTGCCTTCAGGCCCTTCCTTTATCCTTGCTTCAGTCTGTGAGCGGAATGAGAGGCCAACAGGGAGAAACAGCGAGAAGCGGAACGGAGGAAGCAGGAAAAAGCTTTAGCCAAGGCTTGGGTAACAGCAAGAAAGTCAAGCCATGTCAAGCATTCAATGTCCATGCGCACACCCACCAACATAATTGCTTGGATTGAACGTATTTGCGGGATTTCAGTTTTGCTAAGTGCTCTAATTTGATGAAAAACTGAAATCAGGTGACTCAGGTTGAAAGCAGTGGCCATCTCAGCACAGTGGAGCTGAAACGCTTTTTCCGTGCCAGCATCGGCCATGAGGTGTGGCCAATGGAGCCAATGGACAAACGACAAAGGTCGCAGCACCTCAGGCTCCAATGATGAACGTGTCCCCAAGAATGGCGCCGTCAGCATTGACGAGCATGCCAAGTTGGGTTCTTTCGTGAACGTCGATTCAGCAACGGCTAGCATCGTTTGCGTCGAGAGTTCTTGTCGGAGGAAGTAAAGAATTGGAGTCACAGCGCTCCAAACGCCAACCGCTCCAGAGCCTTAAAGCAAAAGCGAGACCACATGTTTCGTGTGGAAAACCATCGCCGCCCATTCGCAGGGAGTGTTTTATAGAATTTTGTAATGATTGGGCTTTCCTTTTGAGAGAATCCCCGCCCTGACTTTCATTCTATATGGCCCTTTGCAGAGATGACGTAATGAAGGATTGAACAGGATTGTCAGGATTGTCTTCGACACAAAGCTTTTTAAAACAATTTCACTTATTCCACCCAAACCATTCTGTGTAAGAAGGCGCATGGGGGACTCCAAAGCTCTAGCGTTAAGCTTTTATGCAAAATAGTGGCAGAGACTTCTTTTAGATGGTCTTGTCTTCAGGATTTGGAGGGTTAATATGGAGTGACTTGTAACTTGTAACGAAGCCCCAACCGAAACCAAAAACACATGAAACAAGTCTTTAGTAAGTAGACACTGGACCAAGTGCCGCAGACAAGAGTGCGCTGTGCTTCATGTTGAAAAGTGCACTGGTAGTCTAACTCACCTTGTGAAGAAACAGTGGGTAGTAGCCTCACTGGTGCCAATCCGTGGAAAACCAAGGCGGACGCAGAAAACGCGCAGCCTCAGTAGATGAGATCAAATTTGGAACGTTCATGTTGAAGTTTCGTCACAAGATGTCACAAGGCTTTCAGCTTGGACCGGTCAGGCCATGGACCCCATCAAGTTCCGGGAGGCCGCGAAGGCCAAGCCGCAGCCCAAACCGAAGGCTCAAGGAGCGCCGAAGGCGAAGGATGCCAAGGCCCCAGTCAAGAAGCTTGCGGTGGCCAACCGCTTTGGAGGCGCAACGACGAACGTCGAGAAGCGATGCGATGGCCTCCACCCTAGTAGCGATGGACTCCGCCCTAGTAGCGATGGCCTCCAGGGCCCCACCCTATTAGCGATTGTCTCTGTTGACACGCACAAATCCAGAGTGTGACACGCACAAATCGAGTAAGTGTGAAGTGTTCAGTTGCCTTTTCGACTCAAGCGCCTGCGAAAGGAAACGGCGTGAGGGTTGTGGGAAGGGAGCGCCATCAGTGACGCATAGCGGAGGTGCTTTTTTGGACGGCTCGTGAACTTCTTGGTTCATCAAGGCCGGCCCTGTGCTGAGCTTTGGCGATGTCTTCGCTCACTCAAAGAAGAAGATGAAGAAGAAGAAGAAGGAGAGGAAGAAGAAGAAGAAGAGCTACTCCTCAAGAGCTTGAGGAGGGCCAAAGGCAGATCGAAGCTGCCCACCAAAGAATGCAGGCTGAGGCCAAAGAGCGGGGTGAACTGCCTTTAGAAGATGGGGGACTAGAAGAAGAGACCAAAACCCAGCTGGTTCCTGTCCAGGGCACGCCATCGACCTCTGCAGCCTTGGCCACTGAGGATAGTCAGCCCAGGACCTCGGATTCCAAGGCTTCAAGCCGTCAGCCAGGACCCCAAAGCCGACAGGACAAAAGAAAGAGCCTGAAAGAAAGGGAAGCGAAGCTGAATTGAAGACCCCGGAAGACCGAAGATTCTGGGACCTGGCATCAAGGGCAAGACAGAAGGGAGGGGTGGAAAGGGAGCAACAACAAGACCCAGAAGAAAAGGAAGGTCTATGTCCACCCCACCTGAAGAGCAGACTCCGTTCTTTTCCGCCGAGCAACTTCGTGGTTTGCGTGACATGTATCAACAAGCCCCCTGGCTTTACTCAGAGTTCCAGACTCCTCAATCCTCTGTTCAGCGACCGGCTTTCATTGAGCAAGATGTAAAAGGAAGGCCTAGAAGGTTAAAGATGGAAGATGAAGAGGAAGTGGAAGAGAAAAGAATGCTCGAGGAGCACATGAAACAAGAAGTTGAGAAAGACCAGTTGAATAGGTACATCCAGCAACTGATGCTGGAAAACCAAGGCCTGAGAGAACGGACAACTCAGGTGATGATGGAACAAAAGAAGCGCGATGAAAAAAGAAACCACGTCTTTGACATCTCCGTGAAGTGATCGAAGAAAACAAGCGGTTGCGAGGTGATCTACGTCGACTTGCTCTTCAAGGTGAACCACAAGAAGATGGCCTCTTGCCACTCCGAATGGCAGTTCAGGGTGGGAGGAAGAGCCAAAAGTGGGAAGAAGGGAGGAAGTCGGAGCTGAAGAAGACCCGGAACCACTTTCAAGAAGTGGAGAGAGAAAAGGAGGTCAAAGGGATTCCCAAAATGAAGAAGGTGAGGTGGAGACACCCTTCCTCCTCAAACGTATCGACTTCTCCGATTGGCTCCTCGCGATCTGTCCTTTGATGGGTGGCCTCAGCAGTAGTTCTGGCAGTGCGTTGTTGAGACCGCCAAAAGCTGGTACCACTCCCATATCAGCAAGACTTTTTTGAGCGACTACAACATCATCCGACAATCCCTCCAGCCTTGAAGCAGAAGAAGTGGGCCAGGTTGGAACGAAGAGCTTCAAAGGGAGAAGCAAAGCCAGAAGATGATGGAAAGGAGACAGGCCCCACCCCGAATGTCAAGGACTTGCTCGAAGAGGCAAACAAGATGCTGAAGCCCCTCAACAGCTCCCCAACGGCATCGTCCAATTCTCCATCAAGCCAAGGGGGTCAGCGTCAACTCTTGCGTCAAAAGGCGTTCAGGTTGATGAGAATGAAGAAAGGAGAAAAGGTAGGCAACCCATCCACTACGTCCAGCAAAACGAGGAGAAAACAAGGAGATCTATCATGATTGCAGAAGATGAGGACATCGAGCCAATCATTTGCGTGGGATTGCTCGCCACGGTGACCTTGGATGCGCTATCTCCTGGTCTCAGGGACAATTGGAAGTCACCCATCCGAGGCATGGAACTCTTCCGGTCGAAGATCTTGATCCCAAGAAGCTGGCAATCCAGTTGGTCGAAGAACTGGAACAGGTCAAACGTGGGATGAAGTTCAAGGAGGTGGAAAAATATGGTGAAGAAACGAAGTGGTTGAGGGATGTTGTGGCTTCACATCCCACACTTTCCAGCCTCCCCGAGGACATCAAGGAGGAGCTCATCGTGAACCGAGGACCATGGAATGGACTTCCAGTCAACCGAAGAGCAAGAAAAAATGAAAAGAGATGGTCTCAAGGTTCATCTTTATGCTGGACCTGATGAAGGATTCACGTTGGGACGTGCTTGGCAGCAGACTGGAGGGAAGGACTGTGAACAACGGAGTCAAGGACCAAAGACATGAGTTCGCTGGCCATTTTGCCACGTGGTGCCGCAAGCGACGGTCGAGCAGAGTCAGCTGTCAAGAGAGCCAAAACCATGATCCGGAAGGCGCTACATCAAGGAGGAAAAGACTCAAAGTGGTGGTGGCCATGGGCCGCTAGATATGTCAATGAATGAAGTGCTCCGCTGCGATCGAATCTATGAGAAACCAGACCCCCCACATTCATGGAACCAGTGTTGGCGAGGAAGCGAAGATGGCAGAAAGAAGATCTGGGTCCTACCATGCAAACTGTATAGACTAATTGATCCCATCGGCTGAAAATCATAGACACTGGGTTTGCAAGGAAGGCGAATGTCCTCGTCTGACCAGGTGCATCACGAAGAAGATCAATGAACGTCCAACTGAAGGGCATTGAATTGCCCTTGAACGAGAACTTCTAGATGGCCTCACTCTTCGACGGCGACTACGAGAAAATACCACGACAAAGAAGATCCAAGGAGCCTTTGAAGAAGAAGAAGAAAAGCAGAAGGTGAATCGAAGAAAGATGAGAGAAGTTCTGGAAGAAGAACAAAAGAAGAAGATACACGAAGATGATCCACAGTTGGCCGTATGCTCAATCCTCATCTTGGGGAAACTTCGGAAGAAAGCGGCCATGAAGAAGAATAAATTCTTCAAACCAAGATCGTCTCACCTCGAGAGGTGGCAAAAGTATGGAAGAAATGGAAGCCTTCGGCAGAAGACGAGGTCAATTCACCCCTTGCGGAGAAACAAGCCCTCGCGCCGCTTCCAGCTGATCAAGTTCAAGCCTTCATGCAGAAGGCGAAAGAAAGAGGACTTAAAGTTCAACTGATACCTTCCAAATGGTCTTTGCCAAGAAGCCGGGCAAAAATGGCGGCAAGCGGAACATCCGCTGTGTCATTTGTGGAAATTTCGAGACCCGTCAGCCGGATGAGTCAAACTATTCAGGTGGCGCCGACACCTCGGAGTTCAGGATCATAATCTTATTGGCTTCCTACTACCAATGGGAAGGAATAAGCCTGGATGTGAAAACCGCTTTTCTCAATGCGGACATGACCTTCAAGGGGATGAGCGCCTGATCCTTGTGCTGCCGCCCGCCTGCTTCGTGGAAAGAGGGTTCATGGAAAAGGGCACCTACTACTTGCCTCAAGAGGTGGTATATGGCCTCAGAAGACCTCCTTGGTTGTGGAACATGCCCATCAAGTTTCTTGGCATGGAAGTCTCAAAATCCAATGTCCGGTCGATACCGCCGGATGATCTCGCAGGCCTATTACCTTGAAGATCTGTTGGAAGTGAAGCTGAGAAGCTGCAGCCCAGAAAGATCCCGATGACTCGCGACCAGTCCAACATCGAGCAGGCCGAGTCCACACCTTCACAGGTGGACATCAAGAATGTTCAAAAGGTGGTCGGCGAATTGTTGCGGTTGGTTACAAGCACACGTCCAGATCTCATGTACACGGTCTCCAGGATGGGTTCAAACATCCTCAAGAACCCAATGGCTGTGGCAGAAGCTGGCATACAAGCCAAAAGCTACTTGATTGCCACCAAGGGCCAAGGCATTAAGTATATGACACCAATGAAGTTGACGAGTTGGTGCTCAATGTCTTCGCGGACGCCTCCTGTGCGCCCAGTGCCGAGGAGTCACACGGCTGTTGCGTCGTCGCGATCGGTCAGAATCCTGTTTTTTGGCGGTGCGGTCGACAGTCGGCGACCACACTGTCCACAGCCGAAGCTGAACTCAATGAACTGGTTGAAGGAATGGTCGCTGGAGAATCCATGGGAGTTGTCATCGATGATATTGGCCGTGTTCCCCGACTGGCGTGGACAGACAGCCAGTCTAGTCTGTCAATCTTGACCAATGAAGGTGGAAGCTGGCGAACCAGGCATCTTCGCAAGACGTCAGCCTTCGCCAGACAGGCGATTAGGGCTTTGGACCGTTGGCCATATCCCAGGCAAGGACATGGTTGCTGACATCGGCACAAAGGCTCTCATCTCCACTCGCCTTGAGACTTTGAAGATGAAGACCAATATGGTCACCGCCGCAAAGAACGAAGAGAAAGTTGAAGAGAAAAAGGGGAAGTCACCGGAAGAAGCAAAAAAAGAAGGACGGATGTTTGCAGTGAAAGAAAAGACCGCCACGGTCATCAAGGTTTTGATAATTGCTGCATCACTCACTGCAGCCAAGACCGGTCGTCGGCCGTCCCCCGAACGGACGAAGCCCAGTGACATCAAGCTGGGCGAGACCCAATGCCCTCGAGCGCAAGGCGAAGTCCAGTTGGCCATCGGTTCAATCAGTGTTCAAGGTCTACGCCGTCCTGGTGATCTGTGCCACTTTGCTCTGCTGGTGGATCCTGAAGGAGGGAGTACTGCGGAAGTAGTTTCCGTCGCAAAGTGAAGAAAGATCGACGGAAGCACGAAGTCCTCCCAAAACACCACCAAGAAACGGAAGAAAGATGAAGGCCCTAAAGGTGAAGAAGAATAAAGATGACGAAGAAGAAAGTGAAGAAGAAGGAGAGGGAACCCTTGAAATCCCTCGGCCACAAGACCTGTCATCGCCCATGCAGTTGACGCCACAGAGGACTGCAGGACTTCTCTCTGGCATTGCGCCTCCCAGTCAAGCAGCTGGGACACGAGCTCTACCCAACCAATGGGTGTGCGAGAAAGGATGAAAAGGTATGAAGAAGAAAAGAAAAGATCAGAAAAGAAAAAAGAAATAACAAACAGAAAAGAAAAGAGGAGGATGAAGGTGCGGGATCTGCCAATGCTACATCAAGCTCGATCCAAAGAGGTGGAGGTCGAGCGCGCAGCACTGCAGCTGCACCAAGTCACACTGAGCCAATGAAGAGGAGGATCCAATCCTCGCAACGAGGTACACCAAGGGAAGCTGCGAGTACCTTCAGGCCCTTGCAAGAACGGGCCTGGCGAGACAATCGAAATGGTGCCCACTTTGCGCCAATCCTGTTGGTCGGTCCACGAGCTTCACGCTATGCACCAATAGCTGGGGCGCAGAAGCCCATGTGAACAGAAGCTGTCCGAGAAGCACCGTGCACCAGCTGCACAGGTTGAACAGCCTTGAAAGGCAACTTGAGCTGGAAACTTGAATTTTGAAGGGAATGTTTTCCCTTGGCTGCCAAGGCCTAACGGCATGCCAGAGGGGGAGTGTTGACACGCACAAATCGAGAAGTGTGAAGTTAACTGTTCAGTTCATCATGCCAGGCATTAAGTTGCCTTTCCGACTCAAGTGCCCGCGAACGGAAACGGCGCGAGGGTCACGGGAAGGGAGTGCCATAGTGCTATCAGTGACGCAAAGCGGCCGTGCTTTTTTGGACGGCTCGTGAACTTGTTGGTTCATCAGTCCCCACCCTAGTAGCGATGGCCTCCACCCTACTTGCGATGGCCCCCACCCTAGTACCACCCTCGTCGCGATGGTCTCCATCCTATAGTAGCAATGGCCTCCAACCTAATAGCAATAGGCTGAAGCCAACCATAGGGTACCCGGGTACCGGGTAGGTTGTGAGACTTGAAGATCAATGCTTGACTGGCACCGGTGCTTTTGCCTTCTAGAAGTGGATTGATTGTGCCAGGAATGGAGTCAGATGATGACGAAGAAGAAGGTTCCCACGACCGATTAGTCGTTTAACTGTTAGTGTGGTAAGACGAGGTAAGAGGCTTGTAGGGTTCTGCAGCTTTGCCAGCATCCGGTGTCATCAACGGAGATGTGGTTCTGGTCCGCTCTTGGACTCAGGTTGGACAGCTGTGAGGAGATAAAACATTTTTCGCTCGTTGATCCACGAGGTTGTACAGATGCCAAAGACCTCAGCACCGGAGTTCCGGTTGCAAAAAGTCTGCCTCGCATTCTCTTTTTCTAGGTTGCAGGCCATTGCTACTAGGTTGGAGGCCATTGCTATTAGGTTGGAGACCATTGCTACTAGGTTTGAAGCCATCGCTAGGAGGTTGGACGGCCTGGCTATGAGGTTGGAGGCCATCGCTATTAGGTTGGAGGCCATGAGGTTGGAGGCCATTGCTTTTGGGTTGGAGACCATTGTGCTACTAGGTTGGAGGCCATTGCTAGTAGGTTGGAGGCCATCACTAGTAGGTTGGAGGCCATTGCTGCCATCACTAGTAGGTTGGAGGCCATTGCTCAGGTTGGAGGCCATTGCTAGTAGGTTGGAGGCCATTGCTAGTAGGTTGGAGGCCATCACTATTAGGTTGGAGGCCATTGCTAGTAGGTTGGAGGCCAACGCCATTAGGTTGCTATTGGGTTGGAGCCAACGGTATTAGGTCGGACGCCATCGGTATTAGGTCGGAGGCCATTAGCTAGTAGGTTGGAGGCCAACGCCATTAGGTTGCAGCCCATCGCTAGTAGGTTGGAGCCTTGGAGCCATGGGTATTATAGGTCGGACGCCATCGGTATTAGGTCGGCCATTGCGGCCAACGCCATTACCCTGAACCTCCTAGAACCCGAATTTAGTTGGACCATTTATTTAAGGAGTCTGATATAACAAAATACGGAGTCTAGACCCGCTAATTTAAGGTGTCTTTTTAACGTGTCTAGATGTTGTTGTTTTCATCAAAAATTGAAGTGAATCCTTCACAGGATTCGAAAATCTTTCACAGCCGGAATCCTTCACAGGATTTCCAAAAGATTGGTATAGAACCCTAATGCAAAACATCAAGGATTGGGCAACACCCCACCTCAATCCTTCAAAGGGTTCCTGGTGTGTCAACTGAGGTGAAAAACTTTCCAAAGGATTCCTGAAGTGAATGCGCAAATGCAAAACTCTCTCCCCTGAATCCTGAAAGGATTGGCAAAAGAATCTTGTCAACTTTACTTCAATCATGCCAAACTTTTGAATTTGCTAAACACCTGGTGGCCTGAAACCCAGGTTGCTGATCTGCAACAAATGATTTTCACCTCTGGATGGGCCACCCAGGCACCAAGTTCTGGGCTCTGAATTTCATCAAGACATTCTTCCAAGAAGTACTATGAGCAGAGTTGGTTCCCCCTCTCCTTTTAGGGGCAGCTGCCACAGATCCCCCCCAGTCTTCATCCCTGTAGGTCCAAGACAAAGAAGGAAGAACTTGGTCAAACTCTGCCAACTCTTGCAGCAAGTGGAATTTAGGCTTGAACTTCCACAGCCCTTCAGGACTGCTCTGTTCCAGAGCCAGATAAAGAAGCGGGAACTTTCTAGTGAGTTCCTTGAAGGTAGCTTGGCAAAATGAATTTTGTGATAAACAATCGTACATTTGCCAAAGCAAATGAGCGGCCTGGAGGACAGTGTTCTCCCAAGAGTCCTCCGTTTTTTCTGCCAGTTCCAGAAGCCAAGGAATCAAACTTCTCATTTCTCCATCACTGGCTCTCAATTTAGGCTTGCTTTGGCCTCCTTTCTTGGACCCTGTCCTCAACATTCCAGGTGTCAAGGCGTTGAGTTCATCGGTTCTTCTGTAGAAATCTACAATGCTTCTGTGCATAGAATTGCACTGCTGCTTGGGGGTGGCTCCTGGAAACCGGTCTAGAACATGGCGCGTGAGATTGCCAGCAAAATCTGCAGCAACCCGCAGGTCTACCACACGCAGCCAATCAATTTGGAATGTCGACAGAGAAATGCCAGGAGATTTGAAAATTCCAGAAATGTGCTTAGCTTGCCCCAAATGATCAAAGAAATGTCTTCTTTGGGATCTCCACTCAGCTGTCAAAGTGGCATCCTTGATGCTGTCTTTGGCATCGGAAACAACAGGACTGTGGATCCAAAATGCAACATGGAATTCATGGAATCACCCAAAACAAAACTATGTGGGTGTGATGTCCTTCAAAGGACAAATAGTAATTGGATGTGATGTCCTCTAAAGGACAAGACTAATTGTGTGTGAAGGCAAATTCATCGAAGTGAAGTGCACAAAGCCTTGGTCTGGGCAATGGTTCATTTTCTGTCACCGCATTACAGGATTGCGTTAGAAGTGCCAGAAGGCGAGCAGAAACACAGTTTTCCTTCCAGAAGCATATTGAAGAGGACACGTGCTCTCTGAGCTTGACAGGTCATCCATGCCATGGAACTCTATGGACAAACTCAGGTCAACGGCGCTCAGGTCATAAATGTCTTCAGGCGCTTGCGCAAAGCCTTCAGGCTATTCAAGTGCATGGAGCCATTGTTGGTGTCAACCTCCAAGAGCTTCTTCAAAGAAGAGCAGTCTGCCTTGTCACTGGAGACCAGCATGTCCTTTCCCTGAGCCAAGTTGGTCCTCAAGGAAGCCAGCGCAGCCTCGGCTTTGCCCAGAGCCTCTCCCACATTCTTCAAAAACTCTTTGAACTCTGGCTTGCCACTGGCCTCCAAGTCTTTGCGAGAGGCGCTGCATTCAAAGACTTGTTTTTCAAGTCTGGCCTTCAGAGCACCTGCAATTTGAACTTGTGAGTTCAGCTGCACCCAGCTTGGGTTCTCAATTTTCAATTTGACATCACTGCTTGATGCATTGCCAATCGCCTTTTGCATGGTGGCCATGCCAAGGTTGGTGCGCAGCTTCATGGTCTGGTCGACTTTGTTTGTGTCCTCTCGCGCATGTTTATTCTTGGTACACTCATCCGATTTGTCCATACCATATTCAACACTCCTGGAGAAGAGCTTCCAACATCTTGTTTCTCTTCTTTTCTTCGGTTTGTTCCCAGAAAAAACCATTCAAAATAGAGATTTGCCCTGGTGTCATCCAACCGCTCTCAGCCACATCCTTCTTCTCAGTAGTGTCAGTCACTGTCTCAAGGTACTCACTGACCCATTGAAGATTCTTCAAGCCACCCTCACTCTTGTAGCGCCCAAGCAAAGCCTTCTTTTCATCCATGGTCATTTGGTTGTATGCCTGGCAGGAAGTAACACTTCACGACTATGTTGCACGATAGTTTTACTACAAATAAACTTTTCATGTAACATGCATATGCTAATTTAATCATATGTATGTGTGTTTATTTATGGCAAGCCCTTCGAAAGGGGTCAGGTCTGTGAGAATGGAAAGAATAGATTTGTTTTTGTGAGGCCCCACCTCAAGGATCTTACTTGCATTTGTTTCACCTTTCTTACCCCTTCTGTACTTCAAGCCATTCAGCATCGCATTGAGATCTTTTCGGGTTGAATCTTCTATCTCTTCATCTTTCAGCCTTTTTGGGAGCAGCTTTTGGCTTGCCCATGGTTGATGGCTGGATTGAAAAACACTACTCAAGTTGTAGCTTGAAGCTGAATAAGCTGAATAGCAAAAAATCCACACAGCAAGAGACAAATCACACCAACAGTTTTTACATTGACTGCTAAAATGAACCTATTGTTTTTGGTTATGTGTCTCATTCCTCCAAAGGATCAATCTACTGGTTAGGTCTGATGCCAAGCTCTCAACTCCTGCACCTAACCACCAAACGTTTTGCAAAGGAAGGTGGGCCTCAGTAGGTGCAAATCACACCAGCAGCCTTTGACACTGACAGAAAACTGAAAACACGCTTCTCAGCAAGTCTGACCCAGACTTCAATAATTAGACTTCATTGTCTCTTTGAAAATGTTGATTCCTTCAAAGGACCAATCTACTGCTTTGGTGTGACGACAAGCCCTGCCAAACCCCTCAAAGGATTGAGCTATTGCTTTTTCATGGTAAGCTGTCTGAACCCTTCAAAGGATCAACGCACCTAGTGTTTAAGTGTAATGCCAATCCTCAACCCCTGAGCTGAGCCACCAAACTTGCAAAGGTTGAGAGGAAGGAATTTGACCTCACCAAATGCAAAACGCTTCAACGACTGTGACAGTGAGTGACTAAATGACCCCAGCATGGGTGGCATTGACTCTATTCCTTTTAGAATGTCTTTGATATCATTGAAGGCATCAGGACATGACATCAGTCCTTTCAAAAGTTATGAAAATCTTGTGAGCAAAAATAAGCTTGTGAAAATCATGTGAAAAAGTACTTTTTTCACATCCTGTGAAAAAATGGCTTCCTTTTACTTTAAAAGGAAAAGTACTTTTTTCCACAGCCTGTGAACAAAAAACTTTTCGCATGATTTTCACAGAGTTATTGTTTCTAAAGCCTTTTGTGTGGCAAGCTTTCTGAATCATTGACAAGATACGTATAGACAATATAGTTCTGTTTGTCTACTGCCAAACCCTCTCAACTCCTGAGCTGAGGCGCCACACGACCAACGGTTCTGGGAGGCTGACCCCAAAAGAGATAGGCTGAACAAATGATTCAACAAATGTGAGTCCTTCAAAGGATTGAGCTATTGTCTATTGTTCAGCTATGTGAATCCTTCAAAGGACCCATTTGCTGTCCATGACAAACTGCCTTCTTTTTCAGTGCTGTCTGAACCCTTGAAGGGGCCAAGCTGCTTGATCCTGGCCCACCACAGCTTCTGAAGAAGGTTTTAACCTCAGAAGAGACAGATCACACCAACAGCTTTGAAACTGACTGAAGACAAGTTTCTCAACAGTGACTGGAAAAGAGCCATTGGCACTTTTTTTAATCTTTCTCTGAGACATGTTCTGAGTCCTTCAAAGGATTGAGCTATTGTTTATTGTTTTCATCTGTGTGAATCCGTTAAAGGAACAATCTACTGGATTGTTCTTTGTCTTTTTCAACTTTTGGCCATAGCTGCCATCAGTCCAAATCACTGCCGCTGCCCTCCCCCTCAGGTTCAGGTTCAGGAGGTGCTGGCTCTATTGGCGCATTTCTTGCCAAACCGCTGCTTTTGGGCATTGCAGGAGGAATGCAGCAGGCAATGCTGGGCGCTGTCTCCATGGTGGAAGTGGAGGCATGGGCTTGACTTTCACCCTTGGATCTATGGTGATTTCTGGTTTGTGCCAGTCAGGCCTGGCCAGAAAGTGGGTGACGGCTGACCTCATCCATACTTGCTGCTGGAAGAGGAGGTCCCCTGCTACTGGAAGAGGAACTGTTGGGAGAGCCGGTGGATCAGGCTTCTTAGCTGGTGGTGTTGGAGCAATTGGTGGCTTCTTAGCTGGAGGTGCCATCGAAGGCTTCGCTGAGGCAGCAGCTCCAGTGCCATCATAATCAGCAGCTGGTGCAGCTGCAGGCGCGCTGGATGGCTTTTCTGAGGCATCAGCTGCAGTGCCATCAGCGCCAGCTTGGCCATCAGCTGGTGCAGGTACAGGTTGTGCACCGGATGCCTTTGCTGAGTCAGCTGTGCTGTCAACTTTCTCCCATTGCCAGTGCCATTTGCCATCCTGCTCCCACCAGGTTGTTCTCCCTGCTTTACATCCTGGATCCATTTTTTCCTCTTCTGTCCACCTCCGGTCTTGGATCTATAGTATGCAGTGCCCCCTCCACTGCCATCACCATCACCAGATGTTCCTCCCTGATTCGGGGCCGATGCTGAGGCAGGTGTTGAGGCAGGTGCAGCAATTGAAGCAGCAAGTGCTCGTGCAATCCTCTTGGCTTTGGCTGCCTCCAACTGCTCTGGTGTGGCCACCTGATTGTTTGCTTGGGCACCCCAGCTTTGGAGTCGCTGGCCAACCTCCACTGCAGGCATGTGCATGAAAGATAGGCTGCCAACAGGGTTGAGACTCTTGAGACATATGTTTTGGCGGAAATAGCTTTGCTGTCCGCTAACTCCGCGCAGCCTCAACCAATTGGCATCCCCTGCAGCAGTTGGCAGTTGCAGCAGCAATGGCCTGAACATGAACATATTCTCTGGCCAATTGGCGGCTCCAGAAGTCAGCGCTGGCCTCTGGAGTCGGTTCCGCAACCACCGATGGCAAGGATCCCATGATGCAAGCTAGGCTGCAGTCAGCAAAAAGCTCGAATGGGATGCGGTCTTTCAACTCGAGTTGCAAATTGCTGCAGTCACAAACAACCCTCCAAAGAGCTGCCAAGAAACCAAGTCCTGCAAAAGACTCTTCTTTGCAGATGGCTCCCAGCATTCCTCAAGAGGACCGCTGGTTCCTCCTGAGGAATTCCACCTGCAAAGGATGGCAGCAGCTTTTTGCCCTACAAAGGGCCTGCCAAGCTTTTCCTCCACAGGAACCACCTCATTGCCTTACCAATCATAATCCTACACATGACATGCAACTCTAACAAAGAACATGCAGAGCTGGCCTACACAACCCTATACAAGATTCTCAAAAGATCACATCAGGTTCCTACAAACTCCCTTTGCACCTGCTTCTGGCCAGGCTCCTCCAAGACTGTCTCCAAGACCATGAAGACCTGACACAAGTGGCAAGGACCTGAGACCAGTTGCAGAAATGGGTTGGGATTCCTTAGTGGCAGAAATGGTGTGTGTGTGTGTGTGTGGGGTTCCTTAGTTTTTTCACTTCAAAAGCCCTGCTGCTATTCAAGAGGCCATATCACTTCCTGTGAGCAGTGTACTTTGCTTCATAGTGCTCTTTCAGAGCATGGCAGGCGCACAGGCATCCACCAAGACCTCTTTGCACAAAGCATAGGTCGCCCACCCACTTCATTCGGTCCGGTTCAGGTTGCTCAGCCTTCCTTTTTTGACAGGGTCCACTTCATGAGCAGGAGGCTCAGGCTCAGGGTCTAGCGGTGTTGCAATTGCATCTTGGACCTCAGGGTCTAGCTGGGTTAGAAGCTCTTCATATGAAGAAGAAGGCCGAAAACCAGGGTCAAAAGCTTGAGACGCCATAGCCAAAAAGATTTTGAACCAAAAACTGCAGATATGGTACACATACTGGTGCACATCTGCTGCCATTATAGTTGCCATCTATGGCCATCCACCAGTTTGCCAAATTACTTTTCCACATCGCTGTGCTTGAAAGTCAACCCTCTAGCTGCTCCAGTTGTCTGAAGCAAAAATCCTTGGCCTCTTCAGGAGCCAATTTCTTGGACTTGAGCTCAGCAATGGCCATGTCCAAAATTTCGTACAGATCAGCTGTCTTATAATTTGTACCTCCAAAGTGAAACAATTGAGAACCACCACCACTATACCTCAAAGCAGCGTAGCCACTGAGATAGTACATCTTCACAAAGCTTACACCGGTGGCTTTGGCCTTAGCCTTGGCCTTGCCTGCAGCTTTAGCCTTGCCTTTGGCTTTAGCCTTGGCTTTGCCCTTATTGCCATTTTGGGCAGGCTTTTTCAGCATTAGCAACAACAAAGCATTGGGCACTTCAGTTTAAACTGGTTTCTCATCAGTGTCCATGACAGCTGCTTCAAGCTGCCCTGGTCATGCCTCACTACAGCCTGCAGCTTGGCATCGTACAAAAAAACCTTGGCTGGACCTGGTGGGTTGCCAATTGGAAGCACATCCTCCTCACTGGAAGAAACCACCAATTCATCCGTGGCCATTGCAGGGACTGCCGGTTTGGAAACCATTGCTGCTTGCCAATTGTGCCCCTTGGCCATCGAGCAAGTGGTACATGCTTGAAATGCTTTCTGCTGTGCTCAGCTCAGGCTTCTTCCTCTTGGTAGGGCTGCTCATTTCCTTCACAAATTGGTTTGCCACACTGAGCGCAAACAAATTCAAAACAAAAAATTAAAGTACAAAATATTCAATCAACAATGCAAGGGATCTTGTTTCAATTGCCGCACACACCTCTCTGCTTTGGTCCTAGGAGCTTGCAAATCCTTTTGGCTGGAACTGAAAACTTCAACCTGGGACCTGAACTTCTCAAAGCAGTACGTGGCAGCCTCATGCAATTTCTTGCTGAAATCACTGGCAAGCTCTGGCTCTAGCTTTTGGAAAGCTTTTCGCAAACCAGTGTGCAGCCATTTAGCATTAGGCCTGCAAGTCAAAAGAAGCAGTTCTTTGAGCAGTTCTTCATGTTCCTGCGCCAATTCCTCCATCGACATTGCTTTGAAGGCAGCACTAACACCATTGGGAAGCGCAAGCTTCAAAACTTTACACAAATCCTCTATTGAGGCTTCATTCTTTCTCCTGTCCATTTTGGACTGTCCACTCCACCCTTGAGCATGACAACCCCTCACACATAAAGGATGCCAGCCAACTTCACACCAAATTTTGCAATGCCCTAAAGGATTTGACGCACATCCTCTAAAGGATTTCTTCACCAATTCACCAAACAAGTTAACGCGTCTAGACTCCTTAACTTAAGGTGTCTTTTTAAGGTGTCATTTTTTAAGTGCAGACTCCTTAAATAAGGGTACCCCTTAAATAGGTTTCCAGGGTAGGTTGCAGCCCATCGCTAGTAGGTTGGAGCCCATCGCTATTAGGTTGGAGCCATCGGTATTAGGTCGGACGCCATCGGTATTAGGTCGGAGGCC